TATGATCGAAGGAAGTTTAGAAGTGAAACTTCCGACAATATGGACAGTTGAAAAGCAGAGGTGAAAAGAGTCAGAAGAGAAAAGATCAGAAGAAAGAAGATGCAGGTGCGCGAAAAGGTATAGGAAAGTCACGATTCACTGTGTTTTTCCAATGATTTGTGGCTCCGGAGGGTCGAAAAGTAGGCTCGCTAAAGCGGCGGGTGCGGAGCCATCTGCGGAGATGAGAGATGAAAAATTGCACGCCGTTGTGGCGCGAAGCACATTTCCAAGTCAAAATGTACAAAACACCACAGGATCGGACCACTTTTGGAAGTTGAGATGTCGAAAAAGTACACGCCGTTGTGGCGCGAAGCACATTTCGAACATGCTCGGACCACTTTTTGATGATTCGATTGCGATTCGATGTCCAAAAAGTGCACGCCGTTGTGGCGAGAAGCACATTTGGAAGTCAAAAGCGTCAAAAACTGAGGGTAGTTTGCAGCCACTTTTTGATGATTCGATGGCGATTCGATGTCAACAACTACAACGGCAACTACAACTACAACCACAACAACAACAACAACAACAACAACAACAACAACTACTACTACTACTACTACTACTACAACTACAACTACAACAACAACAACAACAACTACTACAACAAGTACAACGGCAACAGCAACTACAACAGCTACAACTACAACAACTACAACCATAATAACAACCACAATAACAACCACTACAACTACACTACACCGCACTGCACTACAACTGCCACTACCATTACGACTACAACTACAAGTACATTTCAACTACAATTACAACTCCACTGCGCTGCCTCCAACTGCTGTCGGTCCATCGGTTCATTCGCTCTGCGATCCATCATTCACAGGAACCAACCTCGTATAGGTTTCCTATCTTTGAAACTTCCGCCACCGCCTTGTGCGGTACTACTGGTAATGATTGGTTGATGAAATTCGATCAATTTGATTCAGAATTATTCAACATTATTCATATGTTCATTGGCTGGTGCAACGAATGCTGGATGCTGGATCTGCAATGTCAATTGTAGGATGTAGTATTGCAATTGCAAGTGGTAAGCGGTAAGCTTCAATGTTTTCATTGACAGCAACGCCAGCCCGGGAGGATTCACCTCCCTGTGTTTTCCGAGAGCAACATCTCAACATTCCGGCAGTTTGTGTCCAAGCAGGCAGGCTGCCGCAGGGGCCAATTACGTGGAAAAGAATGTAGCATGTGATCATTGACCATGGATCATGATGAACGGATCAATTTGTGATATGATGATTTGTTTTGTTCAGTTCGAATTGTCAATTGCCCATGCCGAATAGCGAAGTTTCATCACCAATGTCACCAGATCTGGCGTTGTGTCATTGAAATGGTTGGCATAGTAGCTGATAAGATGAGATATTGCTGCCAGCAGTCCAATCTAGCCGTCATGGTGCACCATGGTGCGCCCACACTTCAACATGTCCGGGAATCTGGCCAGGTGGTCTCCAAGCCTGTGATGGACTACACATTGTCGGTTCTACCCAGAGTGAAAACCCCAGAGCTTGCCCTTGCTGGCGGTGCCAGCACCAAAGCTGCTGAGTCTGATGGGGAAGAGTCTCAAGATGACGACCTCTTGCAGGAAATGAACCAGTTGAACAAGGACACAGTATTTGCCGGTGGAACTTGATGGGGTGGGGCGGTGGGGTCCTGCGGTTACATGGTTTTGCAGGTCTAAGCGGTCTAGGTCTAGGGTCACAGTCACATGGCCGTTTTCATTTTTGCTTCTCATGTCTCATGTGGTTTTATTTCACTAACCTAATGAGACCAAAAGCGCTACAGACAAGTGGTTACAGGAAACATATTCAAGTGATATAGATTCGAAGCGGAAGGAGCAAAAAGAATAAGATTGAGATTTTACTTACTGGTAATTTGATAAGCTTGGTTGATGAATTGATGACCTTTAAACTTTGAATGCATGAACTTCCATTGACCATTGGACTATTATTGGACCATGTGACCATGTGTGACGGTTTGACGGTTTGACGTCAATTCAATGGTTGTCTAGGTCACGCACGCTCAGCTGTGACATGCATGCAGGAAGTGGAAGCCGCAGTGGCTGCTGAGAAAGCGGTCTCTTCAACTCAGCCGTCGGATCAGATGAGTGCAGTGCCACCTCAGCCTTTGGAGCCACCTCAGCCTTCGGAGCCACCTCAGCCTTCGGAGCCACCTCAGCCTTCGGAGCCACCTCAGCCTTCGGAGCCACCTCAGCCTTCGGAGCCACCTCAGCCTTCGGAGCCACCCCAAGATTCCAAGCCTCAGCCTTCAGAGCAGGTTTCGGACGCACCTCCGCCTCTGGTGGAAACCCAAGACCAAGAGCCAGCTCAGGTTTCGCAAGCTGCCCAAGATTCCAAGTCAGCTGAGACTTCAGAGCAATGTTCGGAAGCACCTCCGCCGCCGGAGGAAACCCGAGACCAAAAGCCAGCTCAGGTTTCGCAAGCACCTCAGGCCTCGAAGCCATGTGAGGAGTCCGGGACAACCCAGGGCCCTCCGAAGCTGGCAGAAGATCAGTCAGTTGCAGGTCCAGCCACGCCAGCTGAAGCAGAGCACCCGGCTGTTCCAGACATAGCAGAAACAGCTCCCAAAGTTGCACCAGCAGAAACAACAGCAGCCGTGGGAGTGGAAGACACCGTGGAAGTGGAAGTGCCAGAGCCAGACCCCATTGAGCTGGCTGAGAGCAAGAAACAGACAGATCACCCTGTTGGTCCGAAAGACACACCATCAGATCCGGCAACTCTGTCGAATACAATGCTGCCAGACAAAGGACCAGAAGCGCCCGTACCGACGCAGCTGGATACCCAACAAACCCTTGATCCCAAAGACATCGATGAAACAAAGCCAGGAAAGGGTAAGGCAGAGAAAGAGCAGCAGTTCAAAGAAAAGAAGGAAAAAAAGACAAGAAGGACAAGGGAGATGCCGCAGGAACCAAGAGCTTGAGCAACTTTTTCACACCAACAACCGCAGCGAAGGCCCAGGCATCGGTCAATGAGCCCACGGAGGAGAACGGGGGGTGTAGTGTCGGGCTGACAGGTTGATTGGTGCCCACGGGCTATGATCAAATCAATTTTCGAATTCAGATATTTCAATTTTTCAGAAATTTTCAATTATATTTTGATAACTAACCTGATTGGGTCGTCATGACTAGATGCTTCATGATTGTCATATATGTCAATGATTATGATTATGATCAATGATCATGTTTTTGGATTTTGGTTTACACTGATTTTGTAATTGGTCGTACCGTAACCTAGTTTTGTTTTCTGGGTTACTTGGCTACCACAGCTTCACCTTATCAATATTATGCCTGGCTTCCAGGACTTTGTCTGTCATTGTCCATATAGTAGTCGTTTAATTCTTGGTATGGCTATTGGCTGTGGCGGCTATGGTATGCATGAAATGTATCCCGAGGATTCATAGGAAAGTTGTTGCAATAAGCCTGTTGCCTTGCTATGGGGCTGTCAGGCAGGCATAACCTGTTCCAAGTTCCACCTCTCCCTCTTAGCGTTGCCTTTTCAAGGACGAAGGTGTGAAGAAGCGCCGCATGCAAGAGGAGGAGGGGAAAGCCAGCAGTCGCAAGCGTTCTGGAGGTGTCGTTCCCGCGCCCAAGGCCAGCAGTTCAGCCTCCAAAAGAGCCAAGCGCTGAGTTTCTTAGCTAGGCTTTGTGGTCTTGATTTGGGGAACAACTTCCAGGTGAAATCACCTGGCCTGTTGTAAATTTAGCGCTTTTCATTTTGCGCAGGGGCTTTTGTGTTTTCGCAACTGCAGCCAATGGTTGCCCAGTCCATGACACCAATCTCGAAACGGTTGGACCCGTGACCTGCGGAGCCAGATGCTAAGCCAACATCTTGGCAAAGACTGGTGGTGCGCTTTCCAAAAAAAATAACTTGGGCAGCTGGCAGCCGGCAGCCCTAGAGTCTGAGTATTTAGGTAAGCAGAGCCGCCAACTTAGTTTATGTTTGTGACTACAAAAGGTGGTATCACGGCTACAAATGTATAGTAACCCGCTAGCTGCTTGCTAGAGTTGAGCTTTAGACTTTAGCCTCAAGCTTTTGGGTACGGACCAATCGCTAGTGTCATGCAACCTGTTAGTATGGATGTTAAGCACATACAGGTCATTCTGTTGGTCTGTTGGATTTTGGGCCCATTTCAAGTCGCTAAAGATTTGCATCTTATTCTATTGTTTTTGTTGCTGGTTTGGAGGTTGCCTGCGTGGCGGCGCGATATGTGTTTTTAAGTAACTTTTTTTCCCCCCATACTTTTGAACACATCTGTGGCCCCCCCGTAGGCCAGACTATGTTGTGAACACATAACAGCCCAAAAAACATAAGCTCACGAAATTTAGCACCATAAACCATAAAGAATTCAGCTAGTTGTAAATCAACTTAAATTTGGAGATTCCAACCTGGGGCACGAAGCTCAGCGTCATTGAGTTGGATGGTTTTTCTTCGTATATCGCTGTCTCAGAAAATGGGAATATACCCCCAGAATTCTTGCTAATTCAATGGGGAAAATGATGATAAACCATCAAGTTTCTATAGATGTTTGTAGATGTTTAGAGTATGAGTAGAGGTCCCAAGATTTTTTTGAACGCCAGGAGGCTAGTTCGATGATGTTTTCTCCACTATCTCCAAGCTTCCAACTGTGCATCTATGACTGCAGCTTGCACTTGAGCTGGCTATATGGATTGATTCACAGGGCTGCCTCATTGAATCTAAATATGGTCTCCAGAAATCTCATGGTCTCCAGAAATCTCCTGATGTCATCGTTTTTTACAAAAAAAATGGAAAGGCCATGATCATTTCATAATTTATCAGTATTCATCAGTATTTATTTCATGAAATTTGAATTCGGAAGATTTCGGAAGCCCTTTTCCAAAGAAAAGCAATTCACATCTGTTTGGGTCCAAAAAAAACAGCCATGAACGTCCACATTTTTCGCACGTCAAGGGTGGCCTTGAAGTTTGTCAAGCACTCGGATCCATCCTGCTTCGCGCAGAGCGCGGCGCACTTCATTTGCCCACATTCATCTGGTCCCTGATTTGTGATGCAATAATGACCTGGCGGTGGAAGAGACCCGCGATGCGCAAGGCATCGCAAGGCTGGAAAGTTGACATACCTCTTGGAAGAGTTTTTGGCATGTTTTTGGCACTATTTCGGCACGTAGTTTTGGGATTTTTGGCACAAACCAGCATCAAAACACAAGCCCCAGCGGCAGTTCTGGATGCATCCGCGGTAACCGTAGTAACCTGCAGGACGTGGTGAGTTCCCCAAGGGTAGCCTGCTGTTTAGCTGTCACCCAGAGGTCATCTAACAGTGGAAAACCCATGGGGAAACCCTCGGAACATCATCAACAAATGGTGAGTTTTCCACATCAACAAATCGTTTTCAAGAGGGTAACTGGTTCAAAAACATTCAATCTCCTCATCAAAAGCTTAAAGTATACCCAATAGTTCTGAACTTTCATAGTTTGCTAATGAGATATCTCAGATATTTCCCTGTCAATCATCGGCGAATTACACGAGTTAGATCGAGTTTGGACTGAAATCTTGGAATGCTTGCCGGATCCCCGAATCTCATGGCCGAAAATATCCTTAAATGGCTCAACAAAAATCCAACACTGATGCTCTTCCCATGAAAAAACCTGGATTTTCTCATGGATTTGCCGATTTTCCCCTGCGAAAATGCCCGTCAAACCGGCCTCAGCCTGGATGATTTTTTTTCCATGGTACTGGTTCCAAATAAACAGCCTAGGAGCGTATTAATCCGGGCTTGACATCATTAGATTCGGTCAGATATTAGGTGTGTAGATCACGTTCCGGGCGGCTGGGACCAATGGATTTCCAAAGGGCAACCACAACTGGTACCCTCTGGTAATTTAACATAGCTATTGAAAATTGTCATTTTTCATGGGAAAATCCACTATGTCTATGGTGATTTTCAATAGCTATGTTAAATTACCAGAGGGTACATTTTGGAGGGGAATCACCCTCGCAGAGTTTCAACTTGTAGCGAGTGGCTGCATCCTCTGATGTTGAGATCACTGTGCCAAACACACGTCAGCCCTTAGTGAACAGCCGAACAACGATCCCGACAGTGGATAATCCTTCAGTTTACCTTTGATCGTGGGATAACCAAAAAAAAAGAGGACTTAATTACCCTCTGGTTATTTAACATAGCCATGGAAAATGGCCCATCTATAGATGGTTTACCTATTAAAAATTGTGATTTTCCATGGCTATGTTAAATAACCAGAGGGTATCTGAAAAATGCTGATCCTGATATATCCTCTCTTGAAACATCTGCCTGGAACCTACTGGTGCTACATGTTTCATGGCCATAATATCAACCCATACCACCCCGAAGAGGTCCACATTCCGCTTCCACTCTTAAACCCGATTTAGGGATAAGAATTGGACAAACACCATATATCAACCACTATTCCCCCCTTAGCTTCCATCCTATGAACCTCCATTAGTTAATTTTGTTCAGCCGGGGTGTTGAGAGGGAGACCCCGGATTTGAGCTTCACCACATGAACGGGGACTCTGGCGAACATCTAAAAACTGAATGTCTGCTTGGGGATGTTTCACCACCCCTTTTTCTGGTGAAACATGTTTCATGTTCCATGGACATTAGATATCTGCAAGAAATGAAATATCAACTAAATTAGCTGATTTGGTTCGTGTACATCCCCATCAACACGGCCAAGAAAACAAGTTCTACTCAACTACCGACCAAGTCCGCCGACTCCTACTGTGGACGGAAGAATTCCTGCACACGTTGGTAGATGGTGTATCCCATTCTAATCCCATGTTTCATGATAGTGTTTCATTACAGAATCTGCGGCGGAATCCCAATAATTCTGCGGGACAAAATGTCCATCCACAGTATGTTTGATGCTTCACTCCTCATATTCTGCTGCTTTTGATGAATTCCAGCGGAGCATCTGTAGATATCCTCGCATCCTTGCTGCGAGACCGCTAGCAGCAGCAGCGCTGCTGCCAACGCCGCCACGGACTCCGCCATCGTTGAGAGTCGAGCCGCTGAGCCAAGCCAAACAGCTGCCGATGTGCTGCCGGTCCCTCCGTGGGACCCCTTTTCAGGGATCATTTCCCATCCTTCCAGGATCCGTGAACCAGGAAGTTCCATCATTGAAAATGGGGGGTAGGTGTTAGATTTGGCAGGGAAAAATGGGTATTGATAAACATTGAGGGAATCTCTTGGGGGCCAAAAGAACTTTCAAGTTCTTAAGTTTGAAGGCACTTGACCCAGGGAACCAATGAGAGGCGCCAGTATAAGCTGTAAAGCTGGGGATAGCAGGCGGATTTTAGGTTGCGAACATATCTATGCAAGACCTGTGGAAAAGACTACAGTATCCCTGCTTTCCATGGACAGGTGCAAATTCCTTTTGCAGCTTGCGTTCCAGAGAGCATGCCAGTATCTTCTCTGAAATCTTGAATGCATATAGTATCTGTGCGTGTAGTAGTGTGTATGCATATGAGTATAATACAAGACTCGATACAGTATCATTCACATGTATGTACCTTAGAAATATGATACATTATATATATATATCCGAACCAAAAGTCTACAAATTTGCAGTACTTTGATGAAAAGATTGTCTTTTGAGCATATTTCATAAAAAGATCGTCTTTTTGCCAAAAGTTCGTCTTTTCCTGAAAATTGCTAAAAACTCCATGTTTCCATGGTTTTGGAAGGGATCCAAAAAGGATCTTAAAAGGTATGCCTGGACAATTTTGATATTCATCCTGATGCATTCCTATTTTCAATGCCATTTTGTATCCATTCTGTGTCCTCATCTTGAAATAGTCCCATCCAGGATGTCCACAACAATACAATACATGGTGCCAGGAAAGGAAGCAGCCCCAGCGATCAGTCATTACAATTTTCATCGTGTTCATGGTGCCCAAATAGCTGTATTTTCTAGGACCCGTAGAAAACCCGTACTAACCTGTAGAAAACCCCTAGAATCCCGTAGCGCAATTGGAAAAGATCGTTTTTCCACACGTTTTGGACAAAGTTCGACTTTTGCTAGCCCGTACAAAACCCGTTTTTTTAGCCGTGGAAACCCGTGAAAACCCGTCCGAAAAATATGGGTTTTTGATAGTTTTTGGGGGTCCTGGCATAATGTGCTTCAAATGTGGTGGTCGCAATTGATGAAACATTTCTGACGATGTGAAGGTAAAAAAAAAGTGGATTGTATCCTGTCAAAATGCCATAAATGTCTCATCCAGGATGTTCACAGCATTTTGATGGTATGTTGGTATATTTGGCACAGTCTTGGAAATAGCTGATTTCCAAAAGTTCGACTTTTTTGGGAAATGATCGTTTTTTCGTAGGTGTCCGCGATTTCAAGGGCTTTTTGGATCCCATGGCAAAGGAAAGATTGGGCAGTAACTACACTCAAAATGAGTATACAAGACTCGATATCATTCTATCATTCACATGTATGTATCTTAGATATGATATACATTATTTACATATATTATATACATATACTATATATATATAGGAAAGATTGGGCAAAAGGGAAGATTGGGCAGTAGGTACACTCAAAATGAGACGCCCCCTACACCCGGAGCTTTCCTGGACGCCTTTGGCGGCTTTTTTGTTCGCGCTAAGCGCGCGCAGAGTTTGGGGCCATCCAGGACAGCCAAAGTCTGGTGTGGTCTACACCGGCAGCTGTGGCGCATATGGCAATGCTTCAAGTTGTTGACCCTCCAAATGAGTCAATTCCACAATGTTTCCCAAAATTCCAGGGGAATTTAGGAGGAGTTGACCTTAATTCAGATCTCCATGTGTCTATTTGAAGTTCATATAGCATTTCATAGCATTTCACATAACCAGCCAGGGACCTTGGTTGCAACTGATATGAAACTTGATCCATCACCACCCACATCGCGCGCTGTACAAGTCTGCCGCGACAGCATTGACCTGACCATGAATCGAGAATCGGAGTTGCTGTTGGTTGTACATTGACCGCATGGAATATCCTGGGAACATCACGGGTAACAACCAACTAATCCGAAATGTCTTTGCTCCAAATACTGACCTTCAAGAAAAAGTACCAAGTAACAAATGTAACCAGTTGCATGCAACTGTCAAATAGTTATTATTATGACCCAAAAAGCAACGTGGAACATTTGGACAGCTTACCGCCAATTTCACACCCTTTTCGGATCGGCTGTAGCTGGGAAAGTAGCCTTCCAACCCCCAATGGCAGGGTGGTCATGATCATGTTGATCACAATGACATAGACCATACTAAAATCAAAAAAGGGTCACTCACAATCTCCTCGTTTTCTTGTTTGTTTGACAAGCTTTTATGGTAAAATCATGTAAAATCCTGTTTTTGGTCAAACTCCATGAAAAATCCTGTCAAACTCCATGAAAAATCTCGCAAACCTCAGACCATATCCGATCAAACCATATCCCATTCTATATATGGCAGTGGGTCAAAACCTTGTACCCCTGGTGAACATCAAAATAGCTGGTAAATGGATGTTCATCCCATTAAAAATGGTATTAATAGGTATTGACCCATACCCATATATATATATACATAACTGGTTGGTGGTTTTAACCATCTTGAAAAATACTATTAGTCAATGGGAATGATTATCCCATATATTATGGAAAATAAAAAAAGCTTGAAACCACCAACCAGTATATCTACATAATATACACCCTAGGAGAAACTAACATAGATGATGTGGAAATATGTCGAAATAGGGTAATAATACCATTAAAATCCAGTTTAACCCCATTAGCATCCCATTAGATTCAGTCCCATGATATTCTAGTAATTAAATCCCATCATATTATATATATAATATCTATCCCTGCAATGACACTGTCGCAGGGTTGGGCCTAGGGTTGGTTTAAACGGTTTAAACATGTTTTTGTTTAAACGATGTTTAAACCAAAAATGATTAAACAAATTCAGGATAGTCGGGGACCCCAGTGAATTAATTAAACATGCTTAAACAAATGTTTAGGCATGTTTAAACCAATTCCAAGAGATTGTGGACCCAACCGCATGAGATCATGCGCACAGTGAATTCGTCTAAACGAATTGCAGGAGATTGAGGACCCAACCGCATGAGATTATGCGCACTTGCAGAATCAAGCACTTTTCGAAATCTGCTGCTAATGACATCCATGACATCACCCTGGTGCTTTTTTCTCGCTCACCCGTTCCTACTTTTGTGGAAATCACAAGATCCGATCCCTCCAATATCAGCGTTGCCATGTCCAGAATCCGTTGCCATGTTTAAACACTTCAAACATATGGACCCGAGCTTCAAACGTGTTTAAACACGTTGATGTTTAAACGGTTTAAACCATGTTTAAACCATTTTGTAAACCTGTTCGAAACGACCCCAGTCCTTCCGCCTAAACGGACTCAGCTTCGTTGCTCTCCGGCGTGTTCGGCTCGGTGCGGGGCACCTGTTCACCCATAAAAAATGGACAATGAAAAACATCACCTGTGGGGTCAACACTGTTAAGATCTGTTAAGAATAAAGAACAAAACATTATATTATATAGCTAATGGATAACTGAGCCAACATTATATCACAACTCCAAGAATCCACTCACAAGTTAATGATGTCTTCAAAGTAACCCAACACGGACACGTGGACATGTTAGGGATATTTGCCCATGTTCGTTCGCCTCCGGGGTGGTCTGAAAATCGCCCCCCACCAAAAAAATAAAAATAAAACATGGTCCTCATCATCGTCATACTTATATACATCAAAAGGGAGTTGTTCTATGGGTATACCGGTATACCACGTTTTCGCACAGAAAAAACCACCTGTTTTGACCGCCAAACAGGTGAGGTGTAGAGATCCAAGAGCACTTTTGAGGTGTACAGATCAATTGGTATGTGCTCAAATGGGAGACCCCCAAAATCATGACTTTCCGCATGAAACATGAGAAATGTTGCATGAAACAATGGGGTGTCCCCCATTTTCGTCATCAACTTGCAGTGAAACAAGGGAGTGACATTTGACTATCATCTCATCCATCCATCTGGGTAAATTATAATATTTCACTAACCTGAATTAAGGCCTTCTCTTGGGATGATTTCCCGGATCCTAACCATCATTCCCAGTGAGGGAGAGCAGTGAGGTCGTTATAATTTACCCAGATCCATGCTGAATTTGTGATTGACCCAGAGGTCCCGGCCTTGACATCATCTCCTTTTGGAGAGGCCTGGGCCACTGGGGCTGACAGATGGCCAGCCATGGCCAGCCCGAACCGATTTTTGAGCTGTGAATAGTGAATTTGTTGGTCTAAGTGGCTGAAAAAACTATGGTTTATGGTAGATATAACGAACTAGTAACTAGTTAATGTGGGTTATTTCATGGTGAATAGTTGGTTTAAGTTGGTCTATCTGCCATTTTGTTCTCAGATAGGGGGCAAATCCTGCCTCGGTCGCTCCGGCGGCGTCGTCGGCTTTGCGCTTCTTCCCCAAAGGCTGCGCGCGTGTGTAAAAAGGGGATGGGGATGTGTTCATGTAAACCAATGGGTATATGATTGGTATATGTATATAATAAGTACATAACCAAAAAGGATAATCAATGGATCATGAATGGATAAGTACTGGATAATCATGGATAATTTATGCAATAGTTGGAGGATAATCTCGCCTAAATTGGGGATACATCATGGGGTTTATTTCATGGGACTAAGTATACCAATGATTCAATGATAATATGATTAACCCACTGTGCTTGGAAGATCATCGGATCATTCATAGCTCAGAAAGTGGGGTTAGTTCATCCACTTATGAATTAACCCGGAAAATTTTGGGACTTGCGATCATTATGGTTACTAACCACATACGAAATTCTGGTCTTGGGGTGCTACAACACCAACTTTTTACATGGGGACTGTTGGGGCATAGGGATAAAATATGGATAAAACAAGGGATACAATGTGATATCACAATAAAAAACGACAGGTATGTAAGTTATAATCAACGATGTTTATGGGCTTTTAAACAGATGGGTTGCTGTCTCGTTGGGGGCCCCTACTAACCAACGAACAATCGGTCCCTTGGCTAAACCCAGGAGGGGGCCCCCAGTCGAGCTCGCGTGAATTGTGGCTGAAAAAACTATGGTTTATGGTAGATATAACATGATATAACTATAGTTAATGTGGGTTATAATGGTTTATAACTATAGTTAATGTGGGTTATAATGGTTTATAACTATAGTTAATGTGGGTTATAATGGTTTATAACTATAGTTAATGTGGGTTATTTTATAACTATAGTTAATGTGGGTTATAATGGTTTATAACTATAGTTAATGTGGGTTATAATGGTTTATAACTATAGTTAATGTGGGTTATAATGGTTTATAACTATATAACTTAGGGGGGGCCTATCCTGCCATGAGATCTTATTTTCGCTTGTGAAAACTCCCTATGTTGTCTTCCTGAAATGCCTTTTAAAAATGGGTTGAACCATGTTGAACACACAGAAAAACATGGATTCTACCCTCTGGTAAACTAACATAGCTATGGAAAATCACTATGTCTAATAGGTAAATCAACTATCAATATCTCTAAATGGCCATTTTCAATAGCTATATTAAATTACCAGAGGGTACTCCATCTTTTTCCATTGGTTAATCAATTCCCTCGTAAAGTTCTTTCTGTCACATTGCTCGGCTCGGCTTCCCCTGTCGCCATCGGCGGCCTCGCGATAGCGCCTCAGGGTTCAGTTTTGGGGGGTGAAAAAGCTACCTGATCATAGGTTTTTCTATATTTTTTCTGGGGTTATCTGAAACAAAAAATATGATAAACATAATATGGCTGAAAAATGTTTTGTGATTCTCATTTTTTGAAACCATCCATATTTTTAAATTGGGTCAATCATTTTGTCACATACCAAGTCAAGGTTTACTCTCAGATCACTGGGACGATAGCCTGTTGAGGTTCCGCAAGTCCTCAAAGTCCGCAAGCGAACAAAACTGGTTGGTGGTTGACCTACCCTATATATGGTTAGTATGGTTTAATATGGTTTAATCCCATTGATTATCATACTTAGTTACTTATATAGCTGGTTGGTGGTATACCTACCCCTCTAAAAAATGATGGAGTTCGTCAGTTGGGATGATGAAATTCCCAATCTATAGAAAGTCGTAGAAGTCATGTTCCAAAGCACCAACCAGTATTGTATGGATATTGTATACGGATAATCCCATATATGAAATGGAAAATAATCCAGCCATGTTTGAAACCAAGCAGAAAAAAACACCAGCTGAGTCCCAGACATGTACCAGCCCTTATCCGGCCATGGATTACCTGCGCTGAGACTTCAGCAGAATCTCTCCAGATCTCTGGAAGTTTTGATGGGAAATCATCCACCATGGACCGAGAATCACTTGCTTGTGTCTGACCACTACTTCCAATAACCAGAAACAGATCACAATGGAAAATCAATTTAAAAAAAATACAGATATATATATATATGTGATATTATATATATATATACATTATACGTATATATTATATACATTAGAATGATTTTGGAATTACTGTAGCGGATATTTTTCCTGGGACCCTCAAACTTCGTTCCAGTGAAACACCCGAGTGATTTACCGCGGGATCGGCCTAGCTCTCGATCCTGTCTCCTGGCGAAGTCATGGTGATGTCGCGAAATTTTTCGGTCATATCTTTGGGTATGTTTTTACAAGGCATACTACAGTGGATGGTTGCGAAATTGTACCATATTGTACCCATATGCCTTGTAATATAGGTAAACATACTGGATTTTTACCACCGTTGAAACAACTGGTTGCGAAATCCTACATAAATGTTGTTTCAACGGTGGTAAACATCCCATGATTTACAGGCTTTCAACATGTTTCTACCATCCGGTTGGTGCAGGATTTCGCTGGCCCATCTGGGGGCCATAGAGCTCAGCTAAAGTAGTTGAGTAGTGTCAAGAAGCCCACTGTATCCGTGAGTTCTTCACTTACCATCTGGTATTTTTTCACATAGCTATGGAACATGGTCATAGAAATAGTTGATTTTTACCTATGAAAAATGGTGATTTTTCCAGTTCGCGATGTTAGTTTATCAGAGGGTATTTAACATTATTTATCCAACAAAAACGGAATTTTCAGAAGTGAACCATTAAACATATCCCTTAGGACCTGCATCAGCCTGTTTGTTGAGGGGTGTCTGTTAAATCCAGAAACTATTTCCTAAAATTTAGGAACTATTTGCAAAACCCCCAAAAATGTTAAATGACCAGCTGGTAATCAATAGCCCGACCTGCGCTCTTGGAATGCCATCGCTGCGGCGTTGATCTGGTCCCATCCTCGCCAGGTCGAACGTCGGCTCCGTCCCATGGCCCTTTTGAATGGCAAAAAAACGGGGAAACCATGGGAAAATGGAGGTTTTAATGGGAAAACCATAGGAAAACCATAGGAAAATGGAGGTTTACACTCTGGTAAACTAACATAACTGTGGAAAATCACCATGTTTAATGGGAACATTCACTATTTCTATGCTCATTTTCCATAGCTTTTTGTATGTTTACCAGCTGGAGAAACCATCCCATGTGTTGCATGTATGGTATAATCTGCTATATACATGGTATAATTTCTGCTATATTGGCCTGCAGTTGGGCATGTGTGGGGTAATGTACATATAAATATCCCATACATGGAGCATTTGGGCATGCTGAACAATCTTGGGGAGGCCCATTGTCAGACAAACCCAAGCGGGGACATATCCGGAAGCAAACGCTTTGCCAGTTGTCAGTGGGACATGCTGTGTCACTCTTCCTGCTCTTCAATTTTTCCGAATTGATCTTTTCCGTCCAATCAGACCATTTGATTTCCTGTGGACAATCTCTTCTATCATTGATTGTGTCCTTCCATAGATACAACGATACATGTGTGTTTCCAGAAA